AAGTTTACCTGTTCCCTATAAACATGTAAATTGTCTACTCTTTCTCCTGATTAGCACCTACCTGAGGGTCAGAATGGGGTATATTTGGCAATGTACCTTTCTTTTTTTCCTTTTTTTTTTTTTTTTTTTTTAAGTCAATGGCTTTAATGTCCAATGTCCTACATTCCTGCCAGGTTACAGATGTCACTACTGGAAGCTTTGCACCACTGGAAAAGTGGAATTTTTGGTTACTGTTGCTAACTCTCAAAGGCCAGGAATAAAAAAATTAGATTTATGTCGGTGTTATCTATAGAAAAAGCTATTTTAGGTTACAGTGAAAGGCTCTTCTGTCTCTTGTTGAGCTCTTGAATTCATGGTAGCTAAGGCACCAGGATTAGAGGCAAAGGCGAAAACCAGGAACTTTCTAAAACACTCCTCAAATACTTAAGTGGAACAAACAGGGCATATGATGAGGCCTTATGATATAAATTTTATTAGCATCTATTTGGCGTGACTGCACTACTCCTGAATGGTGCAATAAATTGAGGGGGGTTATACCAGTCATGGTATCATAGAAATATAGGAAAATAGGACTGGGAGGGACCTCACAAGGTCATCTGTTCTCACCCCCCGCTCAAGGCAGGATCATCCCTGACTAAACCATCCCAGTCAAGTGTCTGTCTAACCTGTTCTTGAAAAATTCTAAGGAGAGAGATTCCCCCTGCAAACAAATGCTAGTCAAACTATATAGCATACCACACCCACCTGGAATTTCTTTATATATATATATTTATTTTTATTTTTTTATCTGGAATCCAGATTTTCTTTGGAAGCCAATGTCTTTTTCTGCTATTTCACAACTGTACTTCTTTATGGGAATATAGGTTCACTGCAGCTCCCTCCCTATTCTTTCCTGCTGGATATTTCAATTCATGGGAAAACTGTGTGGCTGTCTATATAGGTAGCAGCTGCCCAAATGTGATAGCTTAGCAGCAACAACTATATGACCTGATACCAATGAATTAAAATGTCAAACACCTTGTACTGCATGCTAAAGAAAAAATGAGATTTGAATTAATCTTTGCTATGCAAGGGAAACTTCAGGCAGCTTGAGTGAGTATAGTGGGAAGCTGTGGAAACAGGCCCTCACAACTGAACCGGTCACGGGAGAAAGTGGAACATTTAGGGCCTTATTGCATGGGATACTTAGTATGTGCTAAATTTGTGCAGTATTAAAGGTAGAACATATTATGAGCAGTCATCCATTAATGTTTACTATGATCTCTAAACATGCACAGCTCGCTGACTGTTAATCCCACCCCTGACACAACACTGGACTGTTGAACTGGCTCCAGTGTGGTGCTGGGGCTGGGACTGACAGTGGAGGCATGGTACAATAAAGGGGTCCCAAGCTGATGTCACAGCTGGAAGAAGACCTGCATATTGCTTGTATTTTCTCTGTGAAGTGGTCCAACAACAGCTGAACACGTTACTTAATACAATCTGGAGATACTCCTTGCTTAAAAATTCCCAACATTGCTACAACATGAGTGTACTTAACATGGGTTTTATTGCTTGACACATGGTCGCTGACATTAAGCAGATTTAATACATGATGGGTGTAACATGAGACATGGCACTCAGTCAGGTCTCAATGGAAATCCTGGGCATCCCCCTCACCCCCAGTTCCCTTATCCCCTTACACTGTAGTGCTATAAGTATGTTGCAAGTAAGTGGTATAGTTTTGAAAACTGATGCTGTACAAGCTGATGCTCTGGTTAAGGTTTGTTTCTTCTCCTTTCGTAGGCATTACTGCTATGTATTATGACCAGGGATCTTGGTTTTTTCCAATTTAAAAAAATCCCCAATTTTCTGTTAAAAAAAAATCCCAAATCCACATTTTTCTGTGATTTAAATGAAAAACCATACGCATACACACATGTATATGTGGATTTGGGTTACAATTTTTTGACTGAAAATTGGAGATTGTTTCAAATCAGAGAAAACCAGGATCCCTGATTATGACGTTCACTTTCCACAGGGAACTATAGATTTATTTATAGGTTCTCTATCTTTCACAGGCTTTACTCAGCAAACTGAGTATGTTCTCCAGTATATACTCCATTACAATGAAGAGGTGGAATTGAGTTTCTATAGGAATCTGATTGGCTAAGTCCCTATCAAAATGAAAATTAAGACTACACAGCTGTTTGGATAACAGACTAGTATTTTGTCAAAAGATTCCTCACTTTTTAATGACATTCTAAAATGAACATTTGATGTGTATCTTTACAAAATACTTACCCAGAAACTATTTTCTTTACATTGTTTTCAGGGAAAGACAAAATAATATGTAATGTTTTAGACAGAACTAGACTGGAAACCTTTTTCTCATTCTAAAAATATTCCCATTTCGCACTGGAATGAAACAGAATTCTTTTGGGTTTATTTTTAAGGAAAAACTAAAGAAAGACTCACTTCAAAATAGGTAATCTATCAATGAAGAATATGGACACGGAGCAGAACTGGGTTCCAAATAAGTAAACATGTCGTGAAAAAGAAATCAATAAATTTAGAGAAGATCTAGTCTGTTATATATCCCAAACTTCCAGTGATGTAGAACAAGGGTCAGAATTCAGAGATAATATTTACTGTCACTCTCTTTCTGTTTTTTTAATGCAAAATGTACTACGTTGATTTAAAAAAATACTAAGCCCCAAAACAAGTGAATTCTTACTCAAAAAACAACTTTGCCATTGCTGGATTCTCATTTCTGGCTCTAGGAGCACTACAACTCAAAATCTCTTCTTCACCTTTCTTGCAAGGCAGCATTCCTTTATTCTGTAACCTCATACAAAGAGTAGGAGGCAACCAGGGACTATAGGAGGCATTACCATTTCAGCTCTAAATGCCTGATTCCCTCTTGTGATAAATCCAGACTCACTTTCTGTATGTCTTATGACATCCTGTTTAGTTTCTAAATATGGTCAGTATAATACTAAATGACTCCCTTGACACAAATAAAGCTGAATGGTATTGAGTCTGTAAATACAAACCAGCACTCAGTTTCTTTCTCAGATTGAATTTTTATTGTGGCTCTGTATGAAATGCTGCGTTGTACTTAAATATCACGTAAAAAATAATGTTATCCGGTGAGCTAAAACACAATTAACAAACAACCAAAGTATATGCTAGCACTTTGAAAAGGAAATAGTTTCATAGTTTCATAGTATGACATTCCCAGTCACAAGGTGGGAAACAAATTATTATATGCCTATTGGAACAAAATGGGATTCTCTTTTTTTCTTTTCTGGAATGTGCTGAACTTTCCTGAGTGTTCTCATTATAATTCTGATTACAATATGCTAGTTGGAAAATTAATACTGTACTTAAAAGGACATCACCAAGTATTTTTTAAAGACGGTTTATTTGTATGTGTTTTACCTTGATGCTACCCTTTTAAACTTGAGGCACATTATAACATAAGAATAATGTTATTTTCATGTCAGTGTTTTAATGTAATTCATTTATTGTGACTGACAACTTGCCCTCCAGATCTTCCAAGATGATGTATTTTAATTTGAAAAGCAAAACCTTTTCCACAGGAATCAGCTTTCGTTTACTTATGCCAATGCTTCTTTCAAGGCTTCTGAATAAGTCATAGCCTTTCTATGGACTTGTTCATATTAGAAAAATTGTGTCCATGAAACTCCCTAAAATTAAAATTGATTTAGATACACCTGTTCAAACTCATCATGAAGATATCATTCAAGTGAACCTGTTTAAGTACATCTCCAGTAGAGGTTTCTACCAATGCAACTAGAACACTTTTAAATCAATTTAGTTAAAGACCTGCACCTTCTCTAATATAAGAGGCCTAGACAGCAACAAACCAAAAGCAGTTTCTATATATACCACAATCATATCATTTGGTGATGAAACCACTTCTCACCAGATTTTTTATTTATATGGCTTCTTTCCTCACATTCTTTTGTATACAGACATGCTATATACATGCAAGTAATGCCATTCTATATTTACTACTGTGTTTGCAGAATGCGAAAGCATGTGACACAATGTAAAAGGTACTTCCTAGGAATACTTTGCATATTTCAATCCTGAATTAGCAAATGATTTCATAGGCCATCATAAGGAAAGAAAAACAGGTTAGTGTAAAAATAATTAATATGTACATATTTATTTGTTTTGCAAGAAGCAGGATTTGTCTGGTAGTATCTTTTATTGGGCCAACTAACTATTTGAAGCAATGTAAGACCACCTGTCAGAAATGCCCTTCAGGTCTTTCCAATTATAAGATGAGCTGATCAAAACAAAACTTGCCTCTTGCACAGGCTTTGGACCATCCCAGCTACCACACAACTACAGCATATGTTTTGCTGCATAGATGGTGGCTCCTTCCTCTTGTTCTTACATTTTGTCATGTACTGTCTCTATGTTCTAAATCAGTTTTCTAAAGTGGGAATTGACCTTATCTATTTTGTGCATCTTACCAGCGCAGAAAATATAATGAATGAAATGTATAATGATAAGCCAGAATACAAATGAAGTTCTGTGCTGACTACAGCTTCACCAATGCACAAAAACAACAGTGAAATTATTAAAATAGCAGTGTACCTTGAAAAATAACCAGGATGTTATCCATTTGACCATTCTTACAGCCCAGAAGACGTGCCTGTACAGGTCAGTATCCACTACTCCAGGGTCTACTACATTAGCAGTCACAAAGCTCCCCTCTGCTGTGAGAAGATGCTGTAGTAGATAGGTAAATAATACAAGGGCAAGTTTGCTTTGGGCATAAGCTCCATGAGGCGAGTACGAATATCTGCATACAACAGAGGGAGAGAGAGAGAGAGAGAGAGAGAGAAAAAAAATCAGAAAAAAAAATGGCACAGCACCGACATCAAATAAACAGCCAGTTTGCTTTTTGCTACATTATACAGGAAAAAAAAACCCAGCAACACACTGAGCAGGCACACAAAGGTACTTATCTTTTGCAGGCAGATTGCTTGCTCTAGTTCTGGTGATTATTCTACTCGATTCAGTGACCAATGCATGGAAATACTTTAGATAAACCTACAGGCTAACAGAAACCTTACTTCAAATAATTGTGGTATCATTTGTATTAGAAATGCTAAAATATCAAGCTGTAATCTTGTTCCTTTACTGTTTATTAGTTATACTCCTGTAATCAAAGGTTTTTTGTCCTGAGCACTATATTAACCAGTAAAACTAATGAAATAAAAGTACAGTATTAGTTGAGGATTAGGCAAGGTTCAAGAGGTAGATGAACAGACCCAAGGAGGTGCTGAACAGATGGGAAGAAGTGAAACTGTGAGGCATAAACTTAAAAAAAAATCCTGGAAAATGCCAGGATAGAACAAAAATAATGCACAAAAATAATCATGTATAATGCAAATGTACAAACCATGGCATTTATGTCAAAACATTTATGTTGAGAACTCATATGGCCCTTCTACCACTTGAATGTTGGATCAAAACTGCTTTACATTTTTAAAAGCCAACTTTCTTTGTAATTGCCAATTACTTATATGTCATTTCATTTAGGCAGAATAAAAAAAAATTAAACATGCCAGTGTGGAGCAAATTAATAGGCATGCCACTTATAATACACCTCTAGATCGAGGTTTCAGCACCACTTGCACAAAACTCTTTTCCATGACAGTTCTACCTGTGCAATTATTTCAGGTCTTTTTCATTTAATTGCCCTGTGCTTTGAAGACCAGTGGTAATACCTCAGATGATTTCTGTGTTTCTTAATATGCATAAGACAATATACAGAATTTAAATCAGAGTTCCCCATCCCTTTAGCTCACCATGACACAGATAGAGCCCCCTTACTCCCAAGCCACAGCCCCCTGGCCTTGCTGGTGCTCCTCCCCACTCACAGCCCCCCTGGCCCTGCTGTAACCCCTCACTCCCCACCCACAGCCTCCCAGCCCTGCTGGTGTCCTCCACCCCTTCTGGAGGGGGCCTCCAGCTGCCAGAGCTATGGGCCACGGGTCCCAGGTCCACAGCCTTCCTCCACCGTGCTGGCAGCACCCCAGCCCTGGCTGCTGCCTGCAGGAGCCAGCAGTTTCTGCAGCCCAGCAGGTAGTGAAGCCTGGCTCCCTCTCCCCCATGGGTGGCACCGCTGGTGAAGCCCATGGGAGGGGTGGGTGCAGGCTGCCCATGGTGGGTTTGGGCTTCCTGCCCTGCTGCCCTCCCTCTGGGGTCTCTGCAGCTCAGCAGGTGGGACCTAGCATGGCAGAGAAGAGTGGGGCTGGGTGGGGAAGCTCCTTGCCATTGCAAGCCCTGCACCACCCTGGCGAGGTGCTTGCTGCCCACCCAAAAGCAGTGAGGGACACAACTCCACACTGCCACCCCCACTGCTGTGAGGCAGGCAGGGGGTACTTCAGGGTGGCTGAGGGCTTGCAGCAGCAAGGAGTTTCCCTGCCCAAGCCGACTCTGCCCTGCCGCACCAGTT